TTTCTTTCCTTTCGCTAGTTGTCTAGTATGAGATCCTCTTTCGTATTAACGTCATTAGCAAAATGATGCAAGCAAAACATTCAGATCTAAAACTGACAACTGAATTAACAAAGAAGACACTAATATTTCTTGCAGATTTCCTTGATAATGGCTTCTGCAGTTGCATAACTGAGGCTAAAGAGCTTGCAAATGAATTTGACGTGAAACTAAAGTTTATAAACACCCATTCCTTATAAGCGCGTAAAAAAAAAGTTTATTTTTTTACGAAAGTAATGATGACTCTATCTAAGATCCTAAAGAAAGTTATCGAATAGTATTCTTCAATGATGTTATTGATAATGTAGTTGTTCCATTGAAGGAAAGGTTTTATCAAATAAATGATTATGTATCAGAGTTTGGTTTTTTATTTAATGTACATTCTTTAAAAAAGGTAAGCTCTTCAGAACTAAAAAAAAACTGCCTTGATTTACAAAATAAACTAATTTTTGAGGGATATTCTGACATTGATGGAAAATAATTACTTTCTGAATTACAAATGATTTCAACAGTACTTCCATCAAATGTGAGAAAATACTTTAAAAGTAACGAGCTGATGGATGTTTTTCCAAATCTATGGCTCTTATATGTTTATATATAAATATATTTTGTAATAAAATGTTTTTTAATAATAAAAAAAAAGAAAAAGTGCAATTTTTAAAAGGTAAAGTTTAATTTGTTTGCAATTTTTACAATTTGTTCCTTCTTTATAAACTGTTTAACTTATTGCATTTTAATGATCTATTTTATAACTTTTTAAACTTATTTATATTTAAGAATTGCACAAGTTTCTGATATGTACAATAGGTATGGATTTGCAACTAAGCCATTCCACATTTTTGATTGTCACCTTCAATGTGATCAAGGCAAATTTAAGGTAATGTGTCATAGAGGTTTAAAGGGCCTGAGAAAATTTGCAATAGCAACAAAAAAGCATTCACAATACTCGTTTGCTGTTATGCACATTATGCTTTAGGCACGTATATATATATATATGCACGTATGCTTTAGGCACATTCTTGCCTGTTCATGTTTTAATCCAAAGCCAACGGTAATAATATTTATGATAAACTTGGGTTTATATTTTAAAAAGCATTTAAAACAGTTGTGCAAAGAATCCGGAAAACTTTGCATTTTACAAACTACATTTTTTAATTTGGATTCTTAGGTTGATGTCCAAATGGCATCTAACTCAGGACCGACTAAACGGTGCTACCTATAGTGCAAGGCCAATGACACCGGGGATCAATTGCATTGTCCCTCACTATTTTTCTAAAGGACCGCGTTTTTAGAAACTTTTACATATAAAGAGCTTTTTTTAGATGTTAGCTGTTGTGCCCCTCTACTTCAAAACCCGTGTTGTTAGCCCTGTGGTGTCACGCACTCTGACTGAATAAAAAGACCTGCTTTTGCTGGATAGTTTAAAATGGCATTTTTTCCACAATGCCGCATGCTTGAAGGTCCCAATGTGCAAAGGTTATACAAAGGAGAGTATTATTATTTTGTACATGTACCTATGCTTCAAGCAATAGGTATTTTTCCGTTATTTCGAGAAAAATAACTCGTAAAAAACTAGATCAATTTTTACGATAAGTACTCAAACCATATCAATACTTCCCATAAAATTCTAATTCTAGAAATTTCTTCAAGTATACAAAAGCATAGAACTTTAAATACACAAACTTCTTTGTGCATATTAAAACAAAGACATTCTTTAACATGCTGCGCAACTGCTTGTGAGCATTGAAAGGCATCAGTTTTAAACGCTTTATATGCTGGCATCCCCAAAGCATCTGTATTAGAATCAAAGTTAAATGTTCCTAATAATAACGTGCGCCTAATGGAAAGTTACATTATGACTTACAAACAAGCAAATAATGCTACAAAATAAGAAAAACGAAACACAAGCTAGAAAGGTTTGGTGTAGAAAAAAAACAGGAGGCTAGTTCAATTAGAACTCAAAAACGTTTAGCAAAGGAAGCCGATTTGTTTAACAAACCTATTATTATACAACGGAAGCTAAAACTAGTGGATGTAATTAAAAACTGGGTATATCAGAATCTTAAGCAACTTCCATTTATCTAGACTCTCAGTCTGACGGCTCTTTGTATTATAAAAAATGTTGAGCTTATGACTTTTTTAAGAGATAAAACTACAATCATTATGGTTGCGTTACAAACTCTTCAATCATTATGGTTACAAACTCAACAATCATTATAGTATGGCTCAACAATCATTATGGTTGCGTTACAAATTCAGTGACAATTTTTCATCGAATCTTTAGTTATTTTTAAATTACACCAGCTGGCAAACGCTAAAGGTAGCAGAAATCTAATGAGAATAAATCCTAATGACATTCTTTTATTGGACTTTTATGCATTTTTAAAAGACATTTTAAAGAGTTTAATATATAAAACTAAATAAAAACTTTTACAATGGATGTAACGCTTTATTTTAAAATTCATTTTTATTACAATATTTCAAGGGAGTATTGATAGCCTCGTTATCAAGCATGATATAAATAACGTAACCGTTAAAAATAAAACAAAAACAAAAACAAATCGATGCAATAGTTTCTTTTGATTCAAAGGTTTTTTTAAAAGGAAGTCGTGGCGTAACCTCCGTCATCCTGATTCAAACAGTCGTCTGAAGATGCTTGTTCATGTCGTTGTATTTCAAGTGCTTCCTCACTTTTCTGTTGAAATAGAACTCTATTTTAAAAATATTTTTATTGTTCAATACAAAATTACCCTGACAAATTTTTGAATGTTCCGCTATTGCTGAATAAACTCATTTCCTTCGTATGTGCTTTTTTGATGTTGGTAAATACGAGTTTTTTAATTTAGTTTCACCAATATAACATTTTTTGCAGGAGCATTCAAGTTTGTACAAACCTTATAAGAAGAGGAGGTTTATTTTTTGTGGTAAGTATATGTTTGTTTTTTTTATTTTTTATTTTTTTATGTTGATTTAGGTGCCCCAAGAAGTCCTTACGGTCTTATCACAGAGCATCGCAAAAGAGCATTTAATAGGAAGTTCACGCCTCCTTCTTAACTAATGTCGCAAAACTTGCCCAATGGTGGGGTTTGAACCACGGATCTTACGTTTCTGAGGCAAGTGCGCTACCGCTGCGCCCCGGCTGCTATAAATATCTGCTATAAATCGCAATATGTTGTAAATTTTTCGACGATTTAAAGGCTGTAACCTGCTTTTTTGAAAACATCGGGTTTATTTCTGGAACCCACGGTAAAGATACAATGTTTTTTGATGAAATGGATAAATGTTGAGTTTCAATATTTTATTTTTATTATGTAAATTTGCTTTAGTAGTTTTTATAATATTTTTAAAGCTTGTTTTTTTATAACCATTTTCTACAACAACATCAACTAGAAACAATAACTATTGATCGATATTATTATCAAAACATAAATATAATGCCCTATGAACAAATCCTTTAAAAACTCCGATTATAACTTAAGAAAAGTTTTCAAAAAAGCATGGTCACACACCAGTCTTTAAATCACAGATGTTTTATTTAATTACACTTTTATTTACATTTTCTTCGGAATTGGTATTAAGTTTCTTTGCAATTTGTATTGTTTGTCCGCATTTCGATCCAAGAAAGCTTTATTAAATCTATTTTTAGAGCCGCAACGGCTGTATGCTTTAGAAAAAATAAAAAGTTTAGACAATTTTACGGTACCGTTCTTTCTTATTTATTCAACATATTTAAAGTTAAGTATTTTAATATCAGAGCTAACTAAAAAATTGACAAAGTTAAACTAATTTTTTTTATAAAAACAAAATAAAATTTAGCGTAGTTTAACTAATTTTTTCTTCAACTCTGCGACGTATTTATGAGTTTAAATGGAGATATATGAGAGATTGAAACAAGTTAAATATAATGCTACTTTTTATAGGGCAAAACTGGTTTTTAGTAAAGTTTGTCTGTTGCTATTTATTGGTTTTGTCTATTGTTATCTAATAATTGCATTTGATACTATTAAAATAGTATTCAATATAATGGAGATTCATATTTGTATCAATTATTCTGCATCTCTAGACAATATTTCGTAACAACTTAAAACAACATATTTGTAACTGCTGGCCATGTTTGGTGTTGTTAGCAAGGACTGGCACACTTAGTATTTTTATAAATTTTTATGAAAAAAATATACATGCATAACTCCTTGTAAATCAAAATAAGTATTTTTACCGTCCAGAAATGTCAGAATAAATTTTTTTAAATAATTATAAACTTGGTAAATACGATAGAATAGCTAAAACTATTAAAAAAGTTAAAATTGATATCAACTTCTAACCGAGGGAAGAAAGAGGGGAGAAGAGCAGGCTTTTGATCATCCCGTGTTTATACTTTCTAAAATTAACTATAATCATTTATATTTCATAATAATATTATTATATGTTTAGTAAACATTTTTGTATATTTAGGTCTGATTACGCAAATAGAATCATTCAAATAATTTATCATCATAATGACAAGACTTTGCTATATAAAAAAAATTAGTTTCACAATAGAAACCTATTCTTGACAATATTAAAACTATCCTCCAAATAGTAAAGCCTTTATACATAAATATCTTGAATTTGAAGTTGTTCCAGAGAAAGGATTGCATATTTGAAATCAGAATAAGAAATACTATAAAGAAAAAACATGTTGTTTGCCCAGAAAAAATTTTGTTGTTGGTCGTGGTCTGTGTAATCATTTTCAACTGCTCAAGTTAAAAATGTCAAATAACTTAAAATAATTCATTTACAAATTGTTCAAAGTTATGAAACTAATTTATTATAGATATAAATATATTTTCTATTGTTATATATTATTTTAAAGGACATAAAATGTATAATAAAGTATATTACAATCAAACTAAAACTTCCAAATTTATTTTTAGTTACGCAGTGGCTTGCGCAACATTGTGTAACATGTAATGGATATTTTATTTTATTTTATTAAATCTTGACTTATTTCGAAGTTTCATTTATTGCAACTCGTTCCAATCTCCCCAGAGATGATTGAGATTTAAATGAATGTTGTAATGGGGACAATGTGATTTGTAGTTTGGAATGCATTCCTCGAAAAATTCGTTTCAAACTTTTTTTAAAATCCCGATGCAATACTCCATATATAAAAGGATTTAGAATGCTATTAATTATAGGTAACATTTCGCCAAATAAAACATAGGTAACGTTTGATTTAACAGTATCATGCTTTATTGCATTTGCAACTATAACAACAATAACTGGACACCAACATGCAAAAAATGTGCCATATATTATAAAAACCACTTTAGTAGCACGCAATTCAAGTTTGTGGTTTGAAAAAAGATGCGATATTCCAAAAGAAGATTGTCGTATAAAATCCTCGATGCTTGACACCTTTGTCGTATTAATATTTTTTGCGTGTTTGTAACTAATAAGCAACATTTTTGAATAAAGTAAAAACATTACAAAGCATGGAACAAAAAAAATTATAATATACGCAATAATAGTAAATACGCCATTATTCGTATTGCACAAATGACTTTCCGTGTTTTCTATTTTGTTAGACGTTCCATTCTTAAAATTTATGTTGAGAAGGACACCCCAGAAACTAGAGTAAATCCAAATTAAAACAATAGTTTTTTTAACACAGGATAATGTGGCTAAACCTTTGTATCTGTAGGGTTTTGTTATAGCAATAAATCGATCGATTGCAATTGCATACAAATGAGTGATTGATGCTACAAAAAACGTGACATCAAAAGCAAGGTAAAGCTTACATATAATGGGTGGTGCACAATAGTGGTGATTGTGAAACGCATCATGAGCTTTATAAGGAATTAAAAATAAAACAACCAACAAATCACTGACTGCTAAAGATGCTACAAAGTTAGTCGACGGATTTTTTCTTAATTTTTTTGATCGGTTAAATGCCATCAAAACAAATATATTGCCTAAACATCCAATAAAAAAAACGCATACCCAAAACGCAACGTAAGCAATAAATTCATGTTTAGTTCCCTCCTTGCAATAATTGACAAAGCATGATACTGTTTCATTTTTTTCCTGCATTTTGTAAAATGAATATACCATAGTAATAAACGAATCCGAATCCGGATTTGTTTCGTTCAAATAAACCGCGCAATGTTTTGTTACCGAGTAAAGTTGCCCACTATTGTCTATATTAATATCTTTTAAACTATCCTCCAAACAGCATCCAAATGATATATATTGCATGCTGTGTTGCATGCTAAATATCTTTTTTTTTTAGCTAAAAAAAAAACATAATTTTATTATATAAGCAATCCAAAAAATATATAAAATTTATATTATATATAATTCTCAAAAACTTTTAATAATTATTTTTTTACTAAAATAATTGTTAAAATCCATTTGAAAAAAGAAGAAAAACGTATTTAAAGCAAAATTTGATTTTTTAACGACTGATATCATAGCTGATGTTTCCAACAATTTTTTTATTAATCACTATTTACAATTGAAAGAGAAAAAAAAATTGCTTTTTTTTTAGTTTTTTTGATTAAATAAAGTCCTAATATACAGCTGTTTCCTTTTAAACGAAACTGGATATTTCTTATATTAAAAGGTGTGAAAAAATCAAAGAGACTGTTAAATGCACTTTGTTTAATCTCGAATGTGTCTTGTGATCCACCAAAAAAAAAAAAAAAAAAAGCGAGAGTTGCAATTTAAAATACATCAAATACGTGTAGTTAGAATTTTGTTAACACTTTAATTTTTAGCGCAGTTTTAAAAATAATGCGAGCGCGTCAAAAGCTATTTATTTTTTTGGTTCCGAAACAATCATTTCTTGTGGGATATTTTAAATCGATTCTTCGTTTAAAAGACAATTTCATGCGAAGCAATCTCTTTGACAAACTGAAAATAGGACCAAAATAAATTCCGAAACAAATCTTATTTAAAAAACCTGTTTTCACAAATCTTCATCATTAAAAAAGTTTCTAAAACGTCATTTGTTGTGACTACAAATCATAGAAGACATTAAAGAAACAATTTCTTACTTCAATAATATGTTTGACAAATAAAGTACCAAACAAACGGATGAAAATGAATAAAGTTCTAAATGGAAATCGGTTTCTAAGTTACATCATTGATGTTTTTCATAAATATTAATGTTAAAATATAATCAAATGATTGAAAAATAATGACAATAATAACGCTATTTTGTTCATGAACACAAAATATATTTTAAAATTCTATATCTCTATTCCATATTCATTCTCCTGTTTTTTTAATCTACAAAAGATGGCAAACAAAATATTTTACATATTTATTTTTTTGATTATTTCATTCCTTCTTAATATTTTCGTTAACATTTTTGAGTATTTATGATTGTTTATGAATTGTCTTGTACACTCAAATCAAATAAACTTATAAACTTTTTTTTTAATAATTTAAAATATTTATTTTATTGCTGAACGTGCATCATTTTACCTCTCATATCGGCATCTCATTGCATCTCTTACGTATCATTTTACCGAAGATACCTTTCTACCTGATTTATTTACAGATACACACAAGATGTTTTTTGAACGTTATTAGTTTTTTATTTATTATTCTATAATAATTTATTTTTTTCTCCAATGAAACTGTTATGGCTAAAAAAATTTTACAACTTTTTTTATTAACTTTTAATTACTATACATTTTATCTTGTTTATCATATTCAACCATTTTATCATATTTCTCCTTAAATTTCTTACAATTTTTGTAAAATAAAATATTTATTTTACAAAATATAAACAATTAATATAACTAAAATATAATTAATATAATAAAATTAAAATAAAAAATGGTTTTCTAAATAAAAAATGGTTTTCTGTTCTAAACTCTTAAACAATTTTTTCCTGAAATAGAAATCAAAAACTAATAATCTCGCAAAAATATTTATATACGTGTGTTTACGTGTGCGTAGTCACATACGTTTACGTCACGTAGACTTGAAGCTTACGCACTAAAAAAAAATTTTATCATAGATTTTATGTTTTAAAGATTTGTATACAGTATATTTTGTTATAATAGTATAATGTTATAAAGATTTGTATACAGTATATTTTGTTATAATATTAAATAATAAAGACAAAAAGTGTAAAAAAGCAAAGATCATTGAATTTAAATAATAAATTCTGCTTAATACTATATCAATATTTTAGATATATTATTTATATCAGTTATTTCAAATCAATTATTTATATATAAACTAAAAAAAAAAATGTTAAAATAAATTTTGAGACGTTATCAGATTTAATATCAGTCACAACTTTAGTCTTATGGGCAATCATAAATCATGATATCAAAACAGCTGCTATAACGCGAAATGTGCAACGTAAGGTAACTAAGCTCTAAACTAATTTATGCTTAAATAATAATTAAAATTTTACAATGTTTACGCGCTCGTATACAAGTTTCATCAATAAATAACTTTAATTGCCCTTTTGAAGCCATTATACAAGAAAAACTTGCGTTGTATTGAGTACTTTAAGTGCAGTTTTAGTACATTTAAATAAAAAATGGTTCAATATTTACTAAAGATATGGCCTAAGGTGTTTATTTTTTTGACACGTTTTAAGAGAGAAAAATATGCATTAACAATAAAAGTTTTAATGATGATAGTAAAATTTTTGAGACTTATTTTTTTAAAAAAAAGTGTTTATGTAAACTATACAAAACTGCCGAAATAAATTATCGTTTTCATCATTTTTGAAGGATCAATCTAAAGGCTCAAAATTTTTGTAAATGTACCTGAATTTTTCATACATGTGTATAATTTATTTAAATATAAATATTGTGATTTTAATTGTAATGGAAATGGGGAGGGCAGAAACCGCTTTGATCACAAGTTTTAAAAATTTCAGGAGAAAGAAAAAACGTCAAAAAGTTTACTTACCTATAATGCGGTGAAACTAAAGGAGAACAACTACCGTGAGAAAGACTCGATTAATCAAGTCTTCTTTAACCGCAATTGCGGTTAATTTTATATAAATACGGAAACTGTTAATGTATGCAGAAAGAGGTTGGGAATAAATAAAACATTGATATTATTGTTGCGAGTTCTTGAATATACTAACCCGTAGCATTTTCAGTTGAAATTCTTTTCTATGTTCAAGAAATCTGTTTTGTGTGTTTTTTGTATTTATTTTAGTAATTTTTATTTGTAAACGTAAAAAAAACTAGAACTTAAGTTAATATGATGCTTTGATCATACTTTAAATAATTCTTAACCATCAAAAAATATCATCATTTGGTCTTTTTTTGTTCGGTTTTTTTACATTCCGCTATTTTTTTTGCTCCACCTATTTTTACTCCCCGCCTTTTTTTTTTCGTTCGGCCCTTTTTTTTCTTCCTACCTTTTTTTTCTTGCCGCCTTTTTTCTTGCCGTCCTTTTTTTCGTCCGTACGCCCTTAGACTATATTTTGTCTAACTTTTTTTTTTACGTGAACTTTGGAAAAAAAAGTTTTCTCCCAAATAGGAAATTTAATTTTTCCTTCTTTTTAGATAAGATTTAATATTATTTTTAACACATATATTTGATTTAAAAAAGCCAGATGCAATATCATTAGTACGGCCATTATATATGCAAAAATGAAATGAAGACTTTTGTACCTTAGACGACAAACTTTGTATTTTAAATTTTGAATTTTTTATGCTTGTACTGATATAGCCTAAGGATGTTTTAAAACAAAAATTGCGGTAAATAGAAGTTAGGAACAATATTACTCTAAAAATTTTTTCACCTCAAATCTCCATGTGAGAGAAAACATTTTCTACGCTTTTTATTTTTTCTGATTTAAATAAAAGTTTATGGATAGAATTTTCGTTCATTAAAACCGTTTTGTCATTTCGAAGTGATAACCGTGTAAAATATACAACCCTCTTAATTATGAAAGATTTGTTAATTAAAAAAAATTTGGCTTCAAAGCAAAAGATTTTTAAAACATCTCTTTTTTTTTTCTTAATTAGTTTTTTAGGAACTCTAAGAATTCCTCACGGTCTTATCACAGAGCACTGCGGAATAGCATTTAATTAGGAAGTTGACGCCTCTTTCCGTACCTATGATGCAAATATGGCCAGACTCTGCTTTGAACCACGGACTTTCTATTCAGATTTTAGAACTCTAACCACTACAGCACGGCTGCCTTTAAGGTTACTAATAATGAATAAGATCTATTTAATGCTTCTATAAATAGATTATTTTCTCCTTTAAGATAAGATTTACTTTTGTTTTTATTTTAAATACTTATATTCTGCTTTCAACAATAAATTCAATCAATATAAATATATAAAAAAAAGGTAATGGTCAGAGCAAGAAGTCTTATATCCTAGCGCCGTTTTTGTATGCGACTTTACAGTCGTAAATATAAAGTTTATAAAAAACAATCAACGGCAAATATGAAAATATCAAACTTTTTGCAATGATTCTCTTCAAAAAAAGATGTTAAATTAAAAATATTTGTTTAAAGTTAATTTTAAGATTCATGAGATAATTTTAAGATATGATGTAATTTGTTATCCAATTTTTGTTTTGTATGTATTTTTTTGCCAAAATTGAAACAACAACAAAAAAAAAGTATTTGCAATTTGCCAACTATAGTTCAAAACATGCTCGATGTGCCAACTTAAATGCTTATAAGACACCTTTGGGAGGAGGGGGGGGGGGGGGGGCAGTAAAAAAACCCTACAACGCCCCCCCCCCTTCTTTAGGACAACCCTGCTTGTTATGACTGATAAATATAATTTTCCTCATAGTCATAGTATAGAAACTGGAGCTTGTTTATACAGAATTAGATGGTCATGCACATTTAGCACCAAGCATTCATGATGAAGACTGTTCAGTACCAAAAGCATTCTGTTCAACTCATAATAGAGTTTTTTAGTAATGTATTTGGATTCATGCTTAAACGTTATAACATCATTGATAAATAAGGCACCATTCAGATAAACAAAAACAAGATTTGCTACTTAAAAACCTAAAAGAAAAGTACAACTTTTTAGCTAACGTTTTAAAAAGAACTTAGAGTTTCAAAAAATATATTGTGGAATTCGCGGCAAAATTTTTTAGCATTTTTATCAAGTGAAATAGTTACATTTTTTTACTTGAGACTTTTTTAGAGACTTTTTTTGATTAGAGATTTTTTTACAAGATCTGTGATGACTTCCTTCATACTTGAAATCTGCAATGACTTCTTTCATACTTGAAATCTGCAATAATTTCCTTGATACTTGAAATCTGCAATGA